TTGATCTTCAAATGACAAGATCTGAATAGTAAAACCCCTCTCGTAAGAAACACAGGCTGTAATTATGGCACATCTATTATTCAAAATGTTCTTGAAAATTCACGTAAAATCTGTTCAAAACAAACTGCAGCATTAGGTCAGGAAGTGGTCTGTAACACAGAGAGTATTTTTTTAATGTATTTCAGGCTCTGCTCAAGCAAGCATTTGCTTGCAATATTTTCCGTTGAATACGTAGAGTGTTTGGTCCAAATGGGTCGATCCTTTCCCTGTAAAAATAGATTCTAATTTATTCTGTTTTACTTTATAGAAGATCCCATATGTGTGCAAATTTTCTGAAGAGGCTCAGGTCCTTCCTTTCCTACTCCCTCTCCTCCATGTACAGCTGAGCTATGTTTGTGCCTGACAGTGAGCAAATCTGGCAACACAAATAGCTGTGTTAGCCACAGCTATTATAAAGAAAATTCTGCAATGTAACCATCTTGCAGCCAACATCAAATAACTGAGGAAAACAAGTGAGCTGGAGCTTAGTCATATTTGTTAATTAATGCGTGATGATTTCCAACTAAAATTAATTTAGTGATGGAGTAAAGCATATGGAATAATGCTTAAGCTTACATCAAAGGCAAATATTGAATACATTAAGATACATTATCTCTACTCTTTCTGGAGTACATTATGTTCTATTAAGACGTGATGTTCTGAATTTCTGCCTGGGCTTCTCTGAGAATTTGTGCGATGGTTCACAAATGCGTTCCCCAGTGCCCTCCTCTCTAGCACTCTTTCAATTCAGCTACCATTTTTTTGTTTCAGAGGAAGCATTAGCACTCATTATCTGTCAGCAGAATAAAAAAGAAAACAAAACAAAACCAAAAAGACCCAATAACACCTTTTTTTTTTATTATTTAAGATGACACATCTTTCTTGGGTGATGCTTCTGATGTTATCAGTAGGAAAAGCCTTCAAAGAAAATGAGTATCAAGCCTGAAACATTACATAATGCTGAGTTGAAAGACAAAGTGTTTTCTGGAATTCTAAATTTTTTTTAAGCAGCTGCCTTTAAGTGAACACAGCCATCACTGTTATAAAATATTCAAAGCCTCATACATATCAAACAGACAGAGTTACTAGGGCAAACAATCTCATGTATCAGTTAAACAAACATTTGGAATTTTTCCTAAGCCCACTCTAGGTCCTTAAGATGCTTCTAGTTTTAATAGATTGTATCTAGTGTCCATTTGTTTTCTGTTTTTTGTCTTTTTTTTTAAGACAATTTCCAACTTTGCAGAACCCTGCTGGCTTTCTGGCAGAGCAGATTGGCATGCAGTTCTGGAAGCCTGAGATTAAAGGACTTCTCTGTGTTAGGTCATTAGCCATTCCACTCACTGTAGTGTAGCTCGTTTTCCCATTCCTAATTGATCACTTCATTGATCAGACATTATGGAGATGGCTTAGTAACCTAAGCTTTAGCTTTGAAATGCAGTAGAGATTGCAATTACCTGAAAGTCTTCAAGGGTGCCTGCAATTTTCAGACAGTTGGAGGCTCAGCTAATCAAAGATTCTGGCTAATGGAAAGGAGAGAGAAGAGCTGTTTCAGCTGGGCTCCCTAAGGCCAAGAGAGATCCAGAGAGAGCACACAAATGTGCCTATAAAATTTTTCTATGCCAAAGCAGGATGCCAGTGCATGTGTGGAGTAGGTGCTGTTCTGAAGTTCCCCTGTTCTGAAGATGGGTCAGTGTAACTCAGCACTTGCTGAGCTGTCCCAAGGTTACAGTCATCAGGAGTTTGAAATGGGGCTCAGAGGGCTGTTCTGCCTCTTGGAATCAAATGTTCTGCTTTGTCCCCACATGTACTGTTGGTCTTGAGGGGTCTTGAAATGTAGAGGGGTATGGGGACGTTTGCAGTGTGGAAAGCTGAGGAACGTAGGTGCTTGTGTGTAGAAACTGTCCGGATCCTGTGTCTTTTCCTCTTGGAATATTTTCCAGGGCAAAAACTTTAAGGCAGTCTCAAACAAACTGAATATAATGGCCAATTGGGACTGAGGGAGTGACTGGGACTGAGGTGACAGTGCAGACATGCTGCCCTTGTAGTTAGTATGAATCTCTCTCAGATGCCTTTCTTTTCAGTTTAGGTAAATGTGCCATTAAAAACTGAGGTCTTTACTATTTTCTCTGGTGTTACAACTCCTACCAAGTAATATATTCTTCACTATCTGCTAATTATTCTCCTACTGCTTGTTAATATACATTATGCTACGGGTCATCATCTACTCTGAAGGCTGGTTTTCAGTGTTTTCAGTGGTGTGCACGTTGTGATATAGAGGATAAGAGATTTCTCTTTGAAGGCAGTTTATAAATCTTATTGGTCTCCTTCATGATGAAAGGCACTATAGATATATAAGAGATCAAAGCTGTATAAAGATCAGTCGTGTTTGTTTGCATGAGCTTTCTTTTTCTGTTCCTTCTGAGGATTTTGAGCTTCAAAGTTTCAGCTTTAAAGAAACTGAAAAGAACCCCACAAAGGAACCCCTAACAACCCACCACACTGCAGCTGGTTTGAGGTCAGGCCAGCCAAGTGCTGTACAATTTTGACCCGAACTCACACCCTCTTCTTCAACGTTCTTCTATCTACCAGTGATAGCCGGCTCAGAGAAAACCTGTGGTGTTTTTAATGACGGTGATGGCCCAGAGCAGTAAGTTTTAGAGGAGGAATGTTGCTTAGCAATAAAGGGGGAAAAGAAGTTTAACTCAAAACATAAGTGTTTCTATTGTGACTTTTCAGTCTGCTAGCAATATTATTATTCATTTGTGAGTATACATTAGCAATTGGCCTAAAAACATATGCAGTTAATTATACTGTTTCTGGTGCTTTTTTTTTTTTTTTTTTTGGTACGCTTTCCATTGAAATTTGGAATTCTTAAACATTTGATTTAAGTGCAAAGTATGCTTCTTTCAATGTCTGTAGGAATCGGTAGCATAAATCTAGTGCATTCATTGAAAAGAAGTGGCTGCATGCCATGTCCTGTGATATTAGGGTACTGTTTAGCAGAAAGTGGTCTGTGATATGTGAGCTTTTATTTTTCAGCTGAACAACTGCAAATTATTTTTTTTCAACATAGAGTGTTCTCATGAATGACATAAAAATAAACTTGTGACCCACAAAAATACCTTTTAAATGAGAAGCATACTGTGGTACATCATGTAATAAGCCAAAATTAAAAATAAATTTTTAAAAAAATCAACAAGAAGGGAAAGTGACCCTGCCTGCTCATTCCAAAAATCCTTCTCCTTTAAAGTGCTGCAAAAGGAGTGAGTCAATATTATTTGGTTAACTGGCTGTACAAGCATCCAAAATCCACACATCTAAAGTCACTTATCCTTTTTTCCCCATTCTATTTAAAGCAAAAATAATCTAAATTAAAGGAGAAGTACTAAGAACTGGTATGGATCTATGTAGGTCTCTGTAGAGTAATTTAGTATGAAAGTGATGAGCCAGATCTAGATATATGAGTGAATCCCAGACTTTCTGCATATTATCCACACGCTACTCCAGAGATAAGTCATAGCAAACAATAAAGAAGTTGTGTAGCCAAGCAGAGTAGAGAACAATAACCTGTCTGGTACACTTTATCAATATAAAGTCATAGTACAACAGCCAAGGGAAAGTATAGGAATTGGGAACTGGGTTAAATAAATTTCTATGGCTTGCAAGACCTCCAGGGGCCGTATGGACAAGAAGAATGTAAATAAAGTCCAGTGGCACAGGATTAAAAAAATTCAGTCTTCAATGGAAAAATGTTTCTTTTTAAGGATAGCAGAGGAAATGTTTCCATACTAGAAGAATCCAGCCAACCATGAAAGCAAATGTTTCCAATCTCTATTATTTGCTCTACTTCTATATGTATGTATTTAAGGAAAAAGCACAAAATAAGAGCAAAGCAGGAAACGTTCAGTCCCAGTTTAGGACAGTAGGCATTGGTTATCAACTTAAACAGAAAAGAAACAAAAAGCACGTATGTATCTGTTGTGCTTGGCCTAACGACTGTACAAACCAGTAACAGCTGCCTCCCTATCAGGAGAGAGAAGCCTTGCATCCCTGCATGGGTGCAAGCACAGAGGTGGGTCCTGGGGACAAGAAGGATGCACAAGGCTGCTGCAGAAAGGTTTACATCCCCTCCTTGCTCTATCAGTGTGCCAGCCTGCAGGTGCCAGCAGCCTTTCCTGAGACCAAACCTCTCAGGGCATTAAGAAACTCTCACATCTCTGGAGTTGCAGATTTTATAGCCATATGATGCCATTGTGAGCTTCCACAAAACACATCCCTGAAAAGAGATTTCCGTTCCCGCACTATGCAATCCATACGAGTCCTCTCGCTTCACTGCCATCTCTCCCCTATCCACAGTGAATCCAATCTGGAGGAATTGGAGAAATAGCAGAGGGCTGTGGGACCATCACCACTTTTGTAATGGGCAAATTCAGGTGGCAAGATTCAACTTTGATTTAGTTTCCTCGTCCAATCCGTAGAGAGAAGGCTTAAAATACCAGAGGTAAATTGTGAGAGGCCTTATTCTGTTGTCCATATTTCTGTGTGTCAAAAAAAAATGCTCTCATGGTTTTACCTTTTTCTCTGGTGTCACTTTCTCAGTGGTTAAGTACTGGTACAAGGCACTGTAATCAATGCTGACATTCAAAAAGTAAATGCTTGTCTTATCATAACCTGCTAAAGGCAGTTCTGCCTTCTCACAGTTGTTATTTTGCAGTTTCGGGCTAGAACTGTTCCCAGACCCAAAGTGTTAATTGTTAATTGTTAGCTCTGCTGGCAATCAGGAACACACATCAAACTGGAAGGAAAGCAGGATTCTCAGCTGCCAGACTGATGAATAACTGAACCGTTCTCATGAGTATCCAATAATAGCAAAACTGCTTTCATATAAATGTGTTCAACCACACATAAAAGGATGATTTTTGGATGTGGAGGATTAAAACTTTCTCTTACACTTTCAGTATTACGGTCTACAAAAGCCGATTTCTCTGCTTCTTTCCAGAATTCCAGGATTAATCTGTGAGTATGCTTGACTAAAGTCTCTTCAAAAAGCTTTATTTAGATGTGAAAGGAAAAACAACTTGTCTCGTTTGCTCTGGTCTAAGCTTCTATTGCTCAGCGCCCATGAATCGCATTGCGTATAGGGAAATAATGTCAATTTTGTGCCTTCAACATTTGTGAAAAATGTCACCCTGCTTAATAGGTTGATTAAAACTCTATATGCTCCAGAAAATAAATATGGTTGTTTATTATACTTGCCCAAGATAATGACAGTAAAGAAGGTTGAAATGCTGTATGATTTCCTCTCTTCTGCATCCAGGGACATTCAGCACACAGATGGTGTTCCACATAAAGGATTGAGTTAACTGTTAAACATTTTTTCTTCCCATTAGCTCAATTAACAATATGCCCCTGCTATTAACAAAATAGACAAATCACAGAAAACTTGTCAGCTTAATCCTGACTGCTAAAACAGACCATTAGCCCAGATGGGATTGTTTCCTGGCCTATCAGGCTCAAAACATCTAGAAATTTTGCAGCCACCAGCCCAGACTCCGGCAGTGTTGATTCAGCTCTTCAGCCTTAATTGATTTTCAGGCACTTAACTCTCCAGAGATTTTTGAATGGCAGCTTAAATATTGAAAGCTACTCTTCTCTGCGTGTATGCTAGGTCACCTGAATTTTCAGAAGTGATGAGCTCTGAGGAGCCTTAAGTCAGCAGATGTCATCAGTGACAAAAATCACGGCAAAAACCCCTGAGACACTTTTGCCAGAGGGGGCAGTGTAGCAAACAAAGCAAGCATTTCCAGCTTGTTTTCATTTGTCGCCTTCTGCAGCAAAAGCACTCTTGCAGACCTTGGGGCTGGTGGCGTTGTGGAGGCTTCCATCCTAACTGAGAGAAGGGAGCTCTGCCTGCACATCACTACTTCCTGCATAGCTGTGCCTATTCTGCTCTCTTCATCTCCATTTTCCCACATCTCTTTTTGCTTCTATGAAATATAGTAAGAAGGGAGCTTATAGTAAGAAGGGAGTATCAGCCTATAGGCTAATTTTAGCAACACACGTGACCTCTGCTATTCTTATAACTAATCGTGATCAGAAAGTTGGTGAAAAACACTGTAAATGAAACACAGTGGCCTGCTCAAACTCATTATGCTGCGAAGGCTGCTCTGAAAGAAGTGCCTCCTATTTTATAATGTTGGCCTAGGCTTCAAAGGCAGATGTCGATGCTATGGCAATAGAGGTTGAAACTTCCTGTCAATATTCCATCACTTTTTTTTTGCTGCGTGACAGATGGTGTCTGACACGGAAGAGCGTATAAAGCTGAACTGTATCACTGGATTCCTCTCTGTGGAAAAAACAGCAGCCACTGATGTTCATCAGCACTTGCTGAATGTTCATGGAGATTAACAGTGAATGTGAGCACAGTGAGGCAGTGGGTGGTGTGTTTCAGCTGTGATGACAGTAGCAGTGGGTCATCTCCACTGGTTCAAATTGTTACGAGAGTAGCATGCAGGCTCTTGCTCATTGCTGGCAAAAATACATGGCTAATGGTGGTGACTGTTGACAAATAGTGTTTCGTAGCTGAGAAACTGCTCTATCAAATAGTGTTATTATGCTCTTTGTATCTGTTGTAGTTTCCATGGAAATAAACAAGGAATCATTATTTTTAGAGTAACTCATGTACATTACCCAGTTTTAATTGCAGGGCTGCAAGCATCTCATTATTTAGCATAACTCTTTGCACAGGAAAAGCTGATAATGAACCTCCTCTTCCATGTTTTATTCTCGTACTCCCTTGATGCGGAAAGAAAGTAAAAGGTAAGATTTTTTTTTAAATAAATGAGCAATTGCGTAGTCGCTAGACCCATCGACTTTTTGGTTCAATGTCTACTTGCAGAATTTAAGTCTTGAAACCTGATTCATTTATTTATTTATTTTTGTCTGTTGCTGTTTGCTCAGTTGCATTAACTACACACATTAAGGTATCTAGCTACTACTGATACACTATGTGCTTTTTCCTTCTATCTGTACAGAGAATGGCACATTTTCTAGTGTTTTGTTGTGGTTTAGGGTAACTGTGCTAAAAGTTTTCATAAAAAGAGCAGTATCCACAGCTGACAAAATTTTCACCTAGTGAAGAAGAGTTGCACAGTGCAAAGATCAAAATTCTTGTGGATTTCAGCATGAGACTTGATTTACTTTTAAATTATGACTGTACTCTTTATATGAGCCTTTATCTAGAGAAAACCCATTTATAGCCAAAATCACAATAGAGCTTGGAATAATATGATGATCTATGAATTTTTCATTCTTTGGAAGATGTCTTATGCAAAGCCTTTTATCTTAGCACTGGTTTACTACATCATTCTGTACGTGTACTGTATATGTGATTCTGTTTTAAAGGTTTGTTTGCAAATTTCACTAGTTTCTATTTTTTTTGAAAAAAAGTAATCTGATAAGGCTGTACAACTTGGGGCACTGCCAGATTTAATTCATACTGTGTGCTGTATGGGAAATTTTTTATTATATAGTCAAACCAATATAGTGGTTAACTGTTACCAGAAGTGACAGCTCTCTTCTGCCAGGGCTAATATTCATTCAGCCTTTAGAACTCAAAAGTGCTAGAAAACTACTCATTTTTCTTAAGGATTGCTTCTAAACTGCGTTCTCACACAGTCACTGTGCTGATGGGAGGCAAGCAAGAGTGACACTTTTCACAGGCAGCTGTCACGGTTCAGATGATTTGTTAAATTCCAGGACTGATCATTCACTGTAGCACAAAGTAAGTCTCTCTCTGACCACTCCTGTCTTTCTCCATTGATGGTACAGAGAGCTTGGATGACTAATTCAGATGAGATTTTACTGAAAGTTAATTTAACAGATAAATCCAAGTCACTCGAGTTCCACCTTGAAAACTAAAATTGGTCAACTCTAAGAGCATAACAAGGCTTGTATTTATTGAATTTAATTCAGTACCTGATCAGTTTTAATGGCACGGACACATGTTAAACTTGATGACTCAGCACTAATATGCATAAGCATAGGCACTACAGGCAATCCCCATGCACACCAACAGAAATATGGAAATAGTACCATTGTTCATGTGCATAGGATAGAAATATTCACCACAATTTATTTAATACTGGATTACAATAATCAAACTATGGAAAAGATGTCATCATCTTTATTATACTTCAATTGTGTTAAAGATATTATTATAGTGCTGTCATGTTTCATAGGAAAACCACACTTCTCTATTATTCATCTGACATTTAAAGGTTTTTTTTTTTTAATGTTCTTTCCGAGAAATATAAAGATTTAATCACAAAAGACAGGTTCTAGGCGGACTTTATTAAATCTGGCAGCTGTCTTAATTGGACTGTGTGCAACTGATAAAAAAATCCCTGATAACTGGGCATTCACTCAACAAAGAATTGTTCACTGATAGTAATTTATTTTTTTATTTCTGCAATTTGATAGATCTACAGTTCTGCAAATACAGTATTTGAGTACAACATATTATTCTTCCTAGTTATGCCTACGCCTCATGAGATTACTGCAGTGTCGGAAAACAACACATTGCTTCTCCTGATAGAAGAGCCACAGGAACCACTAAATAACACCCCCCAGAAAACACACACTTTGTTTGCTGAAAATATCTGTTGCGTAGGACAGGCTGGACATAACACTATTGTATATATTTTTCACTTACGTTGTTCATACAAACATAGTAGAAGATTTTATACAATCAGTCAGATTCACAATTGTGGGATCCAATAAAAAAGCTACTACTGAAAAAAGAGTGACTTCATTGAGGTCTCTACTGCTGCTCTGTAGAGGAGCTCAGCAAGTCATTACCTCTGTATTTGATGTTTTAAACTTTCCAATCAGACAAAAACAGCTTGGTTTAGACACTTTCTTTGATACAACTTTAAATATCTCCTTTATTTTTAGAAGAGTGCACTGTAACCTTTATCTCCAGGCTCACTGATGGACCTTTTATAATTATCTTGATATTTACATTCCTAACGATGCATGTAAATGGCACTGAAAGCACTGTTCTTTGTTTCCTACAGAAATAACCTAAAATTACTCTTTAAAGAAAGGATGAGGTAAACGTTTATTGAGGTTCTGTCCTTATATATTAACAATTAAAGTTGTTGTTTTTTTTTTTTAAGTCCTCATAATGCACAGCCTTTTTTCAAGTTGGAACCAACTTACCTTGGAAGGTTCATTTTCTCACAAATCAACCATACCAAACATACTGAAGAAATACAGTATAAATTATTATTTTAATTATCTTGCCACTGAGATGTTAACTGGCATCCCCGGGTTCAGTGAACTCAGTTGGTAACTTGCTCAGTCTGATTTATTTTCTCTCTCATTCAGATGAGACGCTTCTGATGCTTCTGCTCCTTTTCTTGCTGAAAAAGCCATCTCCAAATGCTTCTGATTCTTTCACTTTGATTTAAGTAAGTCTTCCCATTCAACGGTGGACTCACTATTTTTAGGTATTGCTGGAAACAGTGACTGCATTTTAGTTCGGAATTCTTTCATCTATAAAAGAGGTTAAGAAATAAAAGTAGTCAACTATTAATAAGAGGCTCATTCCACAAAATATAGTTGTTTGAGGTAAAGAAGATGGAAAAAGGCCTTAAAAATAACAGCAAAGTAAGATATTCTTTTTAATTATACTGGTTCAATTAATTAAGTGGGAAAAAAAAGTATGAAAGAGACAAACTACAATCCCCACATCTAAAGAATCACACTGGGTGTCTAACTTGGAACCACTTGTCTGAATGATTCACAACTATTATATGAGCTATTGTGTGAATATATATATATAAATATTAATATTTTTTTGTTTGATGTAAAATTACTTCAATAGAATTCAGCCATATTTTCAATGCAGTGCCTTATTCTGCACTTTCTCTAGGTTGAAGATCTGTTATAATAGCTCTGTTTGAGGATTTTAGAACAAGATTAAAGAAAATGTTCAGCTCTGACAGTTTCAGTTTATCCAACAGTATAGATACAGGTGATTAAACAAAATCTTATTAAAATTTATTTATTAATAGACAGGAAAAGAAAATTCAGTATTATCCATAGGACTATGCTTTTCTTTTCTTTCTTTATTGATAAATTAAAGTGTGTGCTTTGAAAAAGAAAGATTGCTGTCTTTATATTCTATGTATTAATGCATTAAAACCAAACACTGAATCTATATTTATGGTAATCATTTTAAGACCAATGGCTGATTCTATTGTCTTGACAGGCCAGAACTGAGAATTAATTTCATTAAAAACCACTTCTTTTTAAAGTTGCTGCTTAGATTTAATGGGTTCTTTTCTTCCAGTATTTTTATATACAAGGGCTGCTCCAATTATCTCCTATTTTATTATGTTGGTCCACAATGCACAAAGCAAGCTTAACTAGAAAATAAAATATTACAAGTCTATTATGAAAGAAAAAAAGTTTCTAGAAAGCACCAAAACATTGCTATCAACTGTAGATTTAAGAATACTCAGACTTCTCTCAGAATGCTAACTTACGTTCTGCAGGTAAAAGCAACTCATTTTCTGGAAAAGCAATTTTCCTTTAGCACATAGATAGAATTTGAAATATTTAATGCCTTTTTTTTGTTCATTTTTAAGACCCTGTGATAAATTTCTTCAGCCCTATCTTCTTAGATTCCAATGCTTTTTTGTAAAATCATTTTGCAAGCGATGCCAGACTTAATGCCATTACTTTGCTCTTGCAAGCATCCACATCTTTTTCCATGACCCGTCTCTATACAAAACATTTTTAACTGCAGTTCACAGTCTTGACTGTTCTACATTTTTCTCCAGACTTTCTTCTTTTGTGATTCCCATGCTGAACAGTGAACTACTTTAATAAATCATAACACTAAGTTGATCACCAGCGTGGATTGACTTTTCAACATAATGCATTATGTTGTCAGCTATTTAGGAAAAGCGTTCTCTACAGTGTCTGCCCAGTGGGCCTAAGAAGTACCTGGTATCTTCCTGGTGTGTCTAACCGGGGTGAATTTGTTGACAATACAAACATCATAGCTACTATTACTTGACATTTTCATTTCTGTGCAACTTAAAAATCCTATATCCTACTATTTCTCTCCACAATAGTTTTTGAGTAATACATTAAGCAATGTAACTGGTACTACGCACAGACTTTTATTCTTTTTTCTCTCTCTTCCCAGTAAGAAAGTGCAATAGGGTTTCACTAGAGCTTTGAATAGATTTCTAAGGTATTTCCTTCTCATCAGCACCACTAATGCCCTCAGCTTTTGAGTTTCTTCCTCCATTTCCAAGTTGTGCTAGTTACACAAACTCAATGCATTTTCAAATCCTGGCCATTGTCCTCCCAGTACTCAAAGCTCCTTTACAGCTCCCTAGCCACACTGCCAAAAAGCATGGAGAAGGCTTCAAAAAAGCCTTTCTCTGATGGAGTGGGACCAGTGTACATAGACATAAGTCATGATGGAAACTGCAACACAGTTCCTTCCCTCCCGGTGTCAATGTCTGCTGCTTGTGAATCCTTCTAGTATCAAATTTTGAGCTGTGACTTCTCTCAGTCATTGACCATGTGCTTTGTACCTTGGCTGTTGAATGACCAACCTGCATTTAGTATAAATTTGGCCTCCAAACTAACTCATGCTGGCCTCACACTTGTTCTTGTTTTCATTTGGTTGGTAACATCATCCCAGGCCTACTGCAACCTCACAGAGGATCCCTATTTTTCAGCAGATAAAAATGAGCTATCCTTCCGTGAACTGGATTTCCTGGTATCCAGTCAGCCTCACACACTCGAGTGAGCTTCTTGTGAAGATGACTAACCTGGCTTTATATTATTTGAATACTGCAACCTGATTAATGAGGGAAACCTTGCAATTCAGAACCCATGTCATGCCTTGCCTTTTTTTCAGAGATAAATTGCTTGGAAGGTGTCTTCTCTCTCCAACCCAGAAACTTCCTGTATTTCTTCCAGATTCTGTAATACACACGCCAGTAGTCTCAAATCAACAAGCATTAATTTAATTAGAAAAGGTAATATGCCTACGTACCAAATACTGGAACGCTTAGAAATAATTTATTGTAGTAGCTGCTTTTTTATGGTTGTCAGACACACTGACCTTGGGGCAGTCAGCTCAACTGTGATGTCTCCAATTAATACTGTAGTAAACTGCATGCTAAAAGCTGAATATATTCTATCTCTTTTGGCTGCCTTCCTGATCACAGACCACTCTTTCAAACCCTGCTTCTGAACCCAGTGGCACATGAATGATTTGTAGCACATTTCTTGCTTTAACATTCCTGCATCCTCCATTCCTGGAGGCAACTCTCAAAAGCGAATTTCACTCAAGTGATTTTTTTATTTTTAATCACAGACATTGCAAAGCTTGATACTGTTTTTCTTGCCAAATAAATTCCAGTAACTGCTCCACCTTGACTGTCAGGCTTCTTTCTAAAAGGGTATCATCTACCTTGCTGCATTAAATAATCTGTAATAGCTACAGATCACTGTTATTTTCCTATCTTAACCTAATGATCCTGCCTCAGGTGGCAAAAATACAGGGACCTAAAAGCATCTTGCAGTTAATAATGTCTTTTTAATGTACATCATTGACAGAATGTCACACAAAAATTGAGATAGCGCTATTACTGAGAGCACTTATGTGGCCGTTCATATTAAAATGAATGGAAGAGAGACTAAAAAAAGTCTGTTTGAATCCTAGAATGAAAGTTTTGCAACGAAATGTTCTCTTTAACGTCTGACATTCATAATAGGCCAACCCAAATTCTAGGAATTAT